ATATGTAAAGTAAAAAGTATAAACAAAGTAAAAGCAGAGCACTTATAATGGAGCAACCACCTTTAGGTGCACTTTTAAAAGTAAGTGGTCAACTAAGTGACTAAGTGGCCTTTTATCGATAGGCACTCCCAGCTCCTACTACTGGTGTCCTTTCATGTTGGAATGATACGCGGCTGGTTGACGTTACTGTTTAACAGCACCAGGCAGTGTCAGGGGAAATGCAACATGCCATCAGCAAAATTTAATGCAACAGAAGTCCAAGTAGGGCGAGTGGAGGGGTAATGGATGGGTCCAACAACCACCAGCTTTCACCTGGGAGGCCAGTGTTTGCTCATGTAAGATTGTAAAGCCAGACCCTGTTCTTTTTTCTAAACCTAACCACATGCTTTTGTTGCCTAAACCCAATCACGCATGTGTGTTGGCTAATCATAACCACCTGCATTTGCTGTTTTAGGGGAAAAAAAAAAAAAGTCAATTTGCAGTGTTGTACCGACGTAGTACTTTTATTTTGAAAGAGACTGTCTGCAAAGTGAACATTTCCTGTGAAAACAGAAATGTATTTTGAAAATAGACAATGCATGTAACAGGCTGAAGTTGACACGGTGTTCCAGAACGTCAACAACCAACACACCCAGGGTACCTTGCATGTCATACGTCCACGTGGAAAGTCCATGACCAAATGTCGGTATGTGATGAGGTTGGAGTGAGAATGTGTTGTGATCTAAAGACTGAAATTTAAATGTATGTAGCTTGCACAACCTGAGCTTTTTTCTTCATAAATAAGAAACAACTGAGGTAGAGGAGGCTGCTGGAAGCATTCTCTAACCCAGTAGTGGAGATGTTGGAGATGTTATCAGCAACAGTCTTCTCCACCTTCAGCTTCCTCCTCCAGAGAGAGAAGTCCTTCATCTTCCTTCTACATGATGAGATAAAATAGGAGGGTTGGGATATGCTTTAGCCAATAATGTGCTATGTTAGTTCCTTTTTCCATTAAGCGCTACTTCCCGGGCCAAATGTGACTTTGTAATTCTATCTTCTGTAATACAGTTTGGTAGATGATGAACTTCATCCGCAATTTGTGCTCAAATTTTCTGAAGCCTGTAGCGCTGCAGAGCCATGAACTGCATGACCTCTTCTACAGAGACCCAACAAATCAATGGCTGGGTCTCCCAAGTTTCCAAGTTTCACAATAGCAGATACACATACACTATCCACTCACTGACCTCACATAGGCCATGTTTACACCTGGCATTAACAGGCGTTTTGGGTGAGCTGATCACAAGTGGATAGTGCTAAATACAGGTGTAAACGACCACCAAGACACATTGTTATCCGATCACTCAAACCACTTGCCGAGGTGGTCTGGGATGCTTTTGCCAACATGTCATTTGTAGGGTAAACACTGATGCGTCCTGATGCATCCTTGACAAGGACTTCATCATCAGTGCAAGATGTGGTGGCTGAGTTTGTGACAGTGGACCAATGCTCTATAACTTATCCATTTTGTTGGACAAAGTGTTGAGTGACCATCCATCCACTTTGTCCTACAGAAGGAGATATACTGAATTCTGCTGAAAGCGATATCTCCAGCTGTACTGACACAGCTACTAACATGACTACCAAGCATGCTACAGAGTTGCTAGCAAAAGTGTGGACGTAATAACTGTCTGTGGGGCAGTGACAAAATCTGATGATCTCTAATATATCCATTTTCACATCTTTAAGTAATCACATGTATCTGTAGTGGTTAAAAGAGTTAGCAGTAATAGAGTGTATAAACACATTTCAGTAAGTCTGTACAATATTTTATGATTTGTAGTCACAATACATTCTTACTCCGACCTTGTCACATATCGACGTCTGGTCATGGACTTTCCACATTGACATTTATCGTGCAAGGTACCCTGGTTGCATTGGTCGTTGATGTTCTGGGGTGCCATGTTGTATAGTTTACATACAGTCTCTTTCTAAATAAACGTATCAAGTCGGTACAACAGTGCAAATTTTCCAACAACAAACACGTGGTTATGTTTGGCCAAGACACCCATGTAGTTGGGTTTAGGCAACAAAAGCACATGGTTGAGTTGAGAAAAATAGAACAGGGTTTGACTTTACAATCTTACCTGAGCAAACACTGGACCCCTGGATGACAGTTGGTAGGTGTTGGACCCATCCACCACCCCTCCTGCCCACCCCTCTTGGACTTCCACCCTCTTAACTTACATTGATGTCCCACGGTGTTTCCCCCTGATGCCGCTGGGCCATGGCCACGAATCATGCTGATGTGAAAGGACAGGTTTTTTGGGCAGTGTATCACACCAGAGGTCACTGCCCAAGTGCCGGTATTTGTTGAGTTCACAGTGAGACCGGGTTGGTAGTTAAGACACCGTGTGAAGCTTTCGCTAGGAAGAACACCATTTTTTGGTCTTTATTTTACACCATGAGACAAGACTGGACAGTCATCTTACTCTGGCCCTAACTAATTTTTATGATTAAAAGAATAAAATTTCACTCGAATCATGTTCTTCGGCAGAATTTTGGTGAGTTAGTGTCCAACACGATCTAGCTCTGCATGGAAGAAGTGTAATTAAACTTTATAAATTTTAAAGCACAATCCATATACAAAAAAGGTATAGTATTAAATCTGTCAACACAGGATGAGACTTCACCGCACTCTGACTGACTGGACATCATACAAGGTATATGTTAAATAATAACACATAAGTTTATGCAGCTGCAGCCCCCCTGCAACCCTCAAGAGGATAAGCAGTCATGGAAAATGAATGAATGAATGAATTATACATAACTTTAACATCACCACCACAAAGGTGTAGTGTGATGACATTTTGTAGACTCTTTTAGCCACTTGTTAGCAACCACCTTTTTAAAGACAGTCGTAGAACAAAGCATGAAAGTCATAGCACAAAACATAAAAGTTTCTTAAGCTTGTGTAAACCTCATCTGAAGCATCTAACCAAAAACATTCAAAAAACTGACTTTGAGACAAGGGAACCAGGAGTGCAAATATGCTAAGTCAGAGATGTGGAGATAAGGAAGACCTGAAAAAGCTGACCAGTCAGAGCAAACTGGGCTTTTTCAGAAGGGGGATATAGGAAGAGGAAAATAAAGTTTTGTTCAAGTAGAAACCCTAAAGATAAGTATAAACCTGAAAATGAGCATTATGAGTTCAATTTAGATTTATTTAGAATTTACTCACAGCTCTCCAGTTCCAGTGAGCAGGTCTGAGAATCCAGAGGAAAGCGGCTGAAGTCCATGTTACAGGCTGCTGTCACTGTCACTCTGTTCAACAATAGAAACAACAACAAGACAATCAGACCTGGACAGAAATCACATGGAGTGGCATGCTGTGATTCTGCTAAACACATGAACACACAGTTGAATGTCAGCACCAGTGAGCACCATCAGTTGGCACCATGGATGAAGGATGAAAAAAAAAGCCCAAAATATAATCCTGTTTTATATGAGTGTGGTATTATTTTCATATTTCACACAGGTTGTCAAGCTCCCAGGTTAGCCAAACAACAATCACAGTTTGGTTAGCTTGACCTGCTGTAACAATAATGATGTTTTGTCAGATGGCTAAACAAGTTGTAATGCATGTTAGCTAGTTCACACATAGAAGCATTAGATCCTTCTTATAAATAAAACAGCCTGTTGGTCTATTAAGTTCTCACCTTATTCCTATAAGTCATGTGTAAATGTAATGTAATGCAAATGATTCAGATTGCCACTTTGGAACTACACCTGTGTTCAAAAAACACACATCAAATTAAAATTGGTGCCATGTACTATAGGCTTTATGCCCTCAAAAATGCAAACCTACCTCCTTCATTAATTTTTTCTTTACTTTGTCTTTTCTTTTCTTTTCTTTTCTTAGTTTTTGGTAAAATTGTCACTAGAAATCCATAACAAAATTATAGACAGGTTTTCTCAGGGTACTCCGGCTTCCTCCCACAGCCCAAAGACATACAGGTTGGGGATAGGTTAATTGGTGACTCTAAAATTGTCCGTAGGTGTGAACGTGAGTGTGAATGGTTGTCTGTCTCTATATGTTAGCCGGGGACCCTCAAGGTCGAATGGATGGATGGATGGATGGATGGATGGCTGGATGGATGGATGGATGGATGGCTGGATGGATGGATGGATGGATGGATGGATGGATGGATGATACAGTTGCCAGTTTAGGTGAAAATCTGTCAAGACTGACAAGCTGAGCACATCTGCAAGTCCAGTGAGCAGTCATGCCTTTTAAACAAAGTGGCAGTAAGAAAGGCCAAGAGAGAAATGAACAGGAGGAAAAAGTAGCAAAGCTCCCTAAATTGCATTCCTTTGGCTTTTTTATTAACAGTTGGCAGTGGTGTGTTTGTGTGTGTGCACCTTATAACTAGTATCTAGTGTACATCAGGGCCCGTCACAGTAGCGTGCACTGGGGCCCATGGTAACTACCTTACTGTACACTGTCATGAATATGTATTGATTAAAATGTGTATGAACCCTGGTCTTTACATTACTTTTCTGTCTCTCAGAGAACTGATTTCAAAATACTGCTGTTGGTTTACAAAGCACTGAAAGGCTTAGGGCCCAAAATACATTTCTGAGCATTGTCTATACTATGAACCACCCAGACCTCGCGGGTCTTTTGGGACGGGTCTGCTTTGTGTCCCCAGAGTCAAGACTAAACAAGGAGAAGCAGCGTTAAATTTTTTTGCACCACAAATCTGGAACAAACTCAGATAAATACTTCATTAAGGCTGAAGACCTTTCTGTTTGCTACTGCCTTTAATTACCTCAAGTATTTATTCATTTCTTACCCCACTGTAACTGTTGATCTTGTATTGGTATCTCTAGCTCTTAAATTGTGATTTTAATTGTACTGAAATGTATTTTGTGTGCATTTTGTATCGATGCTTTTGATTTTTTTTATGTCAAACAATTTGAATAGCCTTGTTGCAGAATTTTCTTCTACTTTCTGCTGTCTGAAAACTACCATTATCAAGTTTTTTTAAAGGGATAGAAGTTGGAATGGTGTTTGTATCCTAGTAGTATGGAAATGAGAATAACTTAAAAAACTATGCACACTTTCCAAAATGTGTAAAATCTTTAAAGGTTGTAATACTATCTATTACAGCAGAGCTTGGAGTACCTCATTTAAATATTGCAAGAGGAGATACATTTTGAAATCTTGAGCTCTGTAGGGTTTAATGGATATAAAAGTTTTGATTTTGATATATCTCCAGAAGTATCATAGGCTACTTTGTTACATTTTAACGTGACAGATTGCATTTTACTCCAGACTTAACATATTTTGCTTCACTGCACCTCATTCTGTTTTTTTTTTCTTCTCTTAATCAATGTAATGGCTGGAACTGTGCCTGCAGACCATCATAATTTACCCTGTATAAGACATTTTTGTTATGACCCTACATATTATGAATGGTACATATCAAAGTTATGAAAAATCATGGCAGGTGTTTTCTTCTGCCTTGTGTGTATCTGAAAAACTAAAGCCCTTTGGAGGATTTGTGCCTGTTCTAACTGTGTGTCCCTCACCTTATAAATCAAAGTTCCATCCCTGCATCACATTAAGAAAGTAAGGATACTATTAAGGATGGGAAACCAGATACTGGCTCTATCTTGGGCAGTACCATGGGATTATGGTATACCAGGGTATTTAGAAATCCTGACAGTAGCTAAAATACAGGTGATCCTCTCTCTATTAAACTTATTGTATGTAGTGCACATCGTACACCACCACAGGTCAGTCTCCAGTCTCTACTAGTTTGTTCATTTATAAGACTTAAAAAAGAGCGTAGAAAACTTGCTGGTGATGGAGGTGGTCTGGGGTGGGATGCACTGCACACTAAAACTGTTGTATACTGCATACCCCCGGTGAAATTTCAGGAAGGTATGAAGATAGAAGACATTACATACTGCCCAAGCATAATTGGCTCCAAAAACACCCCACAGAAATTTTTAATTCACACACTGTTTTAATAAATCTTATTATTCTGCTGGCTTTCTGACAGTGTCATCATCTCCCCCTGAAATCCCTTTCTTTCTAATAGTTCTTTTTCCCACGTCCTCCTGCTCTGTTCTCCAATCTGATGTGTGCAAAAATGTGAGAAAGACTTTCACCTGCAGATAGTGAAACTAGTTATATCTTAATCCATCTTTCTCCATACTCTGTCATGTGATGCGTTTATGTTCTCATTTTGACTGATATACTGGTAGCTTGTTAGTGAGTGAGTCTACAGGTTGGTATGTACTGTCAGACTGAAATATGAGTCATAAAATGTGGAGAAAAATGTGTCAAAATAATTCATGAGTTTTCATGTCATGGATTTGGAGATATGGAGTTGAGCTGAGCTACAAATAAAACTTCAAACACTGCCAGAAGACTCCTCTGTTCTTCTTAATGTATCCCCCTGCTGCATCACACAAATATAAATGCAATGTGAGTATAACAAGTACACAAGTAAATAAGCAGATGATTTAATCCACACGGATTCCTCTGGGTGCAGACTGAACAGTTGCAGAACAAAGCCCATAGATATGACTGCACATGATGTGTTAACTGGTGTAATGATGTCTGCAGGGCTTTGGTAAAGGCTAGCAGACTTCATTTGCATTGTATATAATGTACTTTAGCTACAGTTGAATAATTAAATGCAAGGTTGGGAAGATTAAGATTACTGAAACTAGGGCTGAATTAAGATGCTCCAGAAAAAAAAAATGCTGGTACCCCATTAACTAATTAATTAATTAATTAATTAATCCCATTAACTCCCATTCCTTCCACTCTGTGTGCAGTTTTTCTAGTCAGGAATGTCACTTTGCTACAGGTTTGCTGTTGGACACAGAGCAAGACTTCAACATTGCTGTATGCAATAAATTTTAGAGGCGAGTCCACTGATTTTACATCACAAGAGGGTGTTAATAGGTTTTGGGAGCTCTGCTGCTATGTGAATCCATCGAAAAACTGTGCGATGTGTGATAAATGTCTACAAGTGAGTCACTTACAGGAGCAGAGTGTAGGATTGTGGGAGAGCTAATAGTGGAAATGGAATATGACATTTAAGCAATATCACACTCGAGCTCGTGATGTTGTACTGTGATATCGTCACGGCTGTGATTTGGTAATAGGCACGAGGCCGCAGGCCGAGTTCAACAGTTAAATAAGCAAGGCTGATTAAGAAATGTTGAAAAATGAGGACAAAATAGATAATTTAAGCATTTTATTTGTCTTCCGCCAACAAAAATAGTTCCCTCAGGACTCCGCTGTCACCGTTGCTATGTAACGCAGACATGGTGCGCCAGGCACTTACTCATATACACATTTATCAGCACGTTTCCATTAATTGTGCAGCCGGTGAAATAAGTCTATGGTGACTGCATGGTGGACTGTTGCTTCACAGGCACAGCCGACTCTGCCTTCTGATCTGACAGTATGTTGCTTTTCTCCAAGTCATTGAGCTCCGCTGATGAAACACTGACAAACCTGGATGTGTGCTCAGATGGATTCAGCTTCTCCTCTCCCTCATCTTCCTCTGATGACCATTCATAGTTCAATTCAAAACTTATTTTAGGAAATAAATCCATATTTTTGGCTGTTTGACGGTGGATGAATTAATTAGCCTACAACGCAACTGCTGACCTAACTGACACTAACCGTCAGTTTTGATTTGATTGTTGATTGAAATCAGCTGTGAGGCAGAGTGAAACATACACAGTGAAATAACCGTGATGTTGTACTCCAATATCATCACGGTTTTACTGTCTCTCAACCAATCAGATTGCAGGGCCGGAACTAACTGTTGTATAATCATGATTAAGTTTTTATTAGTGTACAGTCACCTGAAACAAAGAATTGGTGTGTTGGGTGTTGTGGTTCGTGTGAGTTTGGTTTCTGGAAATTCCTGCAATATTCCATCACTCATTGGGTATATTGGACTGGATATGAAAATGCACCTGCTGGTATCCTGCTTATTACTTTTTGTATAAACTAAGTAGGGCTGTACCCAAATATTCAAATATTCGAATATTTGTTTCTATGGGTAGGTATTCATTATGAAAATTTGGTATTTGATATTCGTTTTTTTAATTTACTTTTTTTTTTTAAACATTTTTCTTGGTGCTAAATGTAGTCTTTTTGTTGTTGGTAAATGTAGGTTATCAATAAAAATCCAAACATTTAAATTGCATTGTTAAAAATGTGAAAATATAGTATCGCCTACCAACTGAGCTTGTGCGCACGGCAGGCTTGAGCGCATCCGTCTGAG